GATTCCGGTCCAGGTCCAGTCCAGGACCTGCTCCCACTCTGGCTAACACACTAGCTCCCATCCTGCAGGCAGCTGCAGCCTAACTGTACACTTCTCCCTAACAGGAGTCCTAGCACCAGGGATCACCCACTTCGGTTCAACAGTAAAAGTACTTCATATTTAGTGCCCTATGGTACGATACCATTGAAATCGGTGAAGGACTCCGGGCCTATGTACCTTCCCTTTAGAGATACCGAAGTTTGTCCCCTTGAAAGAAGGCTTCATCGTTCTCAAAATTAAGTTACTTTACTTTCTGGCTGCTTGCCGTTTGCAGCAGAAATCAGCAAAACCCTTAAGAGACCCCCAAGGTCAGAAAAGTGACACTCTCAAAGACTAATCCATCAGCTCTGTGTGGGGTGCGCTTTTTCCATCAGCAATCAATGCTAGCCTGAAAACAGCCGTTGTTTAATAGCCTTTCAGCATACGGGGTTTTTTCCCTTTCTACTACAGTTACTTGCTTTAGCTTTTTCAGAATACATCCTTCCTAGTAAGAACAAATACAGAATCTAGGGTTAATTTATTTCAGGGGAGCAAGGGTTGAAGAGATTTAATTCTTTTTTTCCCCCCAAGACTAAAATAATATTTTCCCAGTTGGAAGCAAACTACAAATTACTACAATACTTCATCGGGAGCAAATATTTCCAACAAAAAACCAGAGATTACTGAAATGATAATATACTTGGAAAAAAATGAAGGAAAAACATTACAGTTGTTCAATTTTGCTAAAGACTAATTGCGCTCCAGCCCATTCAACAAATTGTGTGTCACATGGGCAAAGTATAAATTGCTTTGTTCTAAACTGACTCAAGGTTTTTAAAAACTGCTTTTGAAACGAGCGAGGCAAGCAGCAATATGACAGAAGAGTCTGGTCTTTTATTGGTCCATGGATCACATGTTTATCTGTTTGAATTTTTCTAAGCCATCTTTCAGTTAAGAAAAAACAAATGTATCTATATGAATATTTTCTATCAATGCAAATAAATGGTTGAGATGGCCTGCAAAAGCGCAAAGCCTTATACAGTGCTTTAGAAACACCCTTTAATTAAAAAAATAAAAAGTGCTAATTTGGGACCACATCCTGTTCACATTATTTACAAAGTTTTCAGTAGGACTGCCCACTGAATGAGCAAAGCAAGATTATACTGACAAGTCTTGTATTTTCTTGGCCCAGGGCAAGCCTGATCAGCTCAGAAAAGCCAGTGCTCACATCAGCCGGTCTGTTTGGCATCCAGTGTAAGAAGTTAAGAATTATTTGCCCAGATAATGAAGGTTTCTGGTAATGCCTTTGGTTTCACGGAAGTTCTCTTTTATGATGCTTTCACAGCATCAGAAGGAGCCAATAGGATCATAGGATAATGCAGTTTATTTTGAAACACTTTCCATTATTTGATTACTATAAGATTCAGTGGCCTAGAGGGGATTTTTAAGGCCACAACAAAAATAATTTGAAATCAAATAAATGTAAGAAAAAACTCCCAAAAATCAGGTAATAGGTTTAAGATGCCGAGAGGAACTCTTTGGATAATACTGTAACTTACAGCTGAGACGTGTGAAAGACACAAGCCCTGGAGTAAACCCAGTCAGAAACAGTGCCCGAGCTAATGACTGTTGAGCCAGACAGCTGAAGCAGTCTTATTTCACTGTAACTCCAGGAAGGAGGCTTGCACCACTTTAGCCTGACTTGGGGATTGGAATTTGAAAGGTATAAAGCCCAAAATAGCTGCCTGCGGGGCTAATTAGAATATATTTTCACTGCTTTTTCTATATCTCGGCAAATTTGCAGTACTGTCTGATTACACCAGGTCTGAATTTACCTGAATCTACAGAACATAATATGTATTAATGTGGCACATTTATTTAGAGAGTATATAAGCTCAGGAACATTTAAAGTGTTAAAGCAGCCCAAAGTGTTTCCAACTCCTGCTAGTATAATGTAATAAAAATGCAACAATCTTTAGAAAAATACCCCACATATTTTACCAAGCACTAGTTAATTTGTTGTCTTTGATAAATTTCATCTCAACATTTTTGAAAACTAAATACACTGGTAACACCAGAGTCCTGCAGTCAATGTGGTAAGGGTTCTATATATTTAGATACATTAGCAATGATCCATCTTAACTACTGTGAAACATCAGGAACAGTGATGCTTTGAGAATAAGCCCACAACTTTCTTAGTAAGTGGCACCAGTAAACTTTTGAACTCATGGAAAAAGATGAAAGTCACTGTCAGCAAAACTACTTATATTAAGAAACTGCAATATCTAACATATTTCTGCAATCTAAATTTTAATAAATAGCTATAGTTTAAGTTACTTGTATTATCCATTCACAGGCACAGCTAAGAAGAAAACCTAAATACTTTCTTAGACCTTTGCTAGCTAACGTGATAAAAGTCATTGCATGGCAATAATTTGATGGCATGGCATTACACATGTAACGAACTGGGCTGTGGCACCACCGTAGGCTAGATTCACAAGAGATTCTGAGCCTATTCACCCATGTTCCTACATCCAAGAATAAACGCCTTTTTATGAGGCCAGCACTCAGCTTATGCCCACAGTCTTGATGGGCAAGATGAGCTTTCCAAGTAACATTTTATTTACACCATCTGATGCAATCAGACAAAAGTAAACAAGGCCTGCCTGGTAGTTTTCTACTTTTCTTCAACTTACACCAGTCAGTCTAAACAGAAGGTCTTATCTCCATGTACAAATCTTGTCTTCCCTGTGTCCTCAGACAACACAGCTAAAACAAAATGACTATGGTCTGTAGAAGTAGTTAAGCTCTTAAACTTGAGTATTGCTGAACTGTCAAACCTACGACACAATTTTCCAAGAAGACAGAAGAAAAGACAGGTTGATTCTATGGCAATGGCTTTCAGCATGCGGTGCTGGAGAGTCAGGTTTAGGCTCCCGCTCCTTATAAATATGTCATGAAAAAGAGGCCAAATCTGTTAGTAGAACTTTCACGCTGGAGATACAAATTCAAGATCCTCACTCTAGATCAGGGATCGCGCAACAGGTTTTACACATCTGTGCCTGACCACAAAGATGTTGGGGATAACGGAGGTTTTTTTCCACAGCGAAAACTGGGCCAGCTTTCAAGATGTCAGTTCCAGGAGGCCGGTTCACAGCACAGCTGAGAATCCCCAAGCCAGGGTAGATGCCTCCCTCTAATCAGGCACTTCGTTCCTATTAAAGAGAGGAATTTCTGCCTCTTCTTCCTGACCGTTTCTGACTGGGTAACTTAAATCTTCCCATGCCTGTGTCCTTACACATAAGCACCTAAGCAGAAGGACTCTTAAGAGCAGCAGCAGCATTAGTACTGCAACAACCCCGCTCTGGATTTAATCCACACCACTTTCTGTTCCTGACCGAGTTTCTGATTCATTAAAGATCACTGTTGTTTCCCTTGAAACAAAAAGGCAGGGTATTAACTTGAGGCCAAATTCAGTTCCTATTAAAAGTTAGTGTGAGTTACTACACTGATCAATAAAGGAGTCAAACTGTTCTTGAACAATGGAAGAAAATAAAAATAAACCATAACTACTCACTGTAATATATCTAAAATAAACACTGCAATAACAGAACTTTTTAAAAGGAGACCTCTGTAGATCAACTGTATCTAATTACTATTAATTCTTTTGATAAAAGGTAACCTCTGTCACTCCAAAGCAAAGCTGGAGAATGATTTTTTTTTAGTACCGAAAATGACTTTGTCCAGGCTAGGAAATGCCTACAAAGATTTTTAGAAAGAACTGTTTGGAATTGAAAAAATTCTTCTAAAATGCGATGGATTCAATCTAAAAATCACTGCAGATTTAGTACATAATATGAAACAAGACATTTTTAGCATGCTTTTTATGTGGCTACAAACTGTACATAGTGGAATTTCATCGCCCCAAAGAATAATGCTCTTCAGAACTCTGTTAATGCCTCTGAACATCATTCAGATTCTGTGTACAAAACTACGTAATTTAGAAACTTAATCTAGTTTTTTTTAAACATGGCAGTATATTTGAAATATGGTATTAATTTATGTTTGCATCTCCAAAGAAAAATGTAGAAAGATAACTTAAACTAGAGAATTCATAAAAAAACCTATATCAATTTAAAATTTTACTGCATAAAAATATGTACTTTTCAAATTATTTTAATAAATTAAATATCCCTAACATTTTTAATATATATCCCTGACAGTCTATAAAAGAGGGTTCTTGTTATAGAAAATAAATGGAACTCCGAAAGTACCCCCTTCATAAAACATATTTAACAATAATTATATTTTTTTTTCTTCTTCAAGGAATGTAACAATATGTACAACTTCTCTATATTACTATACTATCAAAATAGTACAGGTTAAGCGTAGCAGGGTTCTGTAACCATAAGATGGCAAAGTCACATTGAAGTGGAGGACAACTTAGGCCTCAGGCGAATGTTATCAGTGTGGAGCATCAGTTTCTGGATGGATCAGATAAGGAGGGGTAAATACAATCTTCTCATCTACAGTAGATTTCACAAGAGGTAGAGTTCAAGTGAAAATGAAAGAAATTTGGAATAAGGTGCATGCTCAGTATTTTCAATTCATGACTTGCTAAGGATGTCAGATTTTATAGGAAAAGTTTTCAAGGATTCTTTCTTTTTCCTCTAAAGCAGATTTCCATGATCAGTTTGTAATCTTTTTAATATGAATCTGAAATAGAGAATCAGAAAAAAAGAAGTCATGTTTTAGGGTATTACATTTCTCAGCAATAAGAGGAAACTGTTTTCAGCATTAGCCAAAATTTTGAGCTTCGACAGACTGACAGAATGAAGAAATCTCACATTTGCCAGTTGTATTTTTAAAAGGTTATACCACCCCTTACTTCATTCAGAATTGCCCAAACTGCTGAATTTTGTATCACGGAAAGCCGGAACGATGAAATAGGGTTTAGGCTGGGGTCAACTGTTCCTTCAGCTACACCATTTTCAAATTTCCCTGCAAAAGAAGCAAAAGTATATCCTCAATTAACTCTGTTCAACAAACTAAAGTACAAAATCTGTGCCCAGAAAAATGTACCTGTAGTATCACAATTCACAGGTGAAAGCTATTGCTGGTGGCTGCAGGGTTGACTGGTGTCCGGATTGCATGTAGGAATAAAAACTTTGGAACTGTCTAAGGGTATGAGCACCTCAAACTCTGGGAAGATTTTGGCACAGATTTTCATTTAATGTCATGGAACTAAACATCAAGCCCCTGGCTTATCTGTTTGCAAGAAGGAT